AATTTACTTTTGATAAGTAATAGGTGAAGTGATGGATGGCATATTATGGTCAGCCTTGCCCGACTGTAACGTTTGTTACTCATTTGTTATGCTTTTTTTATTCTTCTATTTTTTGTTGTTTCTTCCTTTTTTTTTTTGTTTGAAATGAAGTTAAAAATTCCACTAGAAACTTTATTTGCACTGTCAGTTGCAATACGTCGTTCCACCAAAAAAATGTTTACATTTTTGTTTTAAATTTTTTTCTCTTTCTCTTTTTATTTTTGTTTTTTCTTTTTTTTTTGAAATTTAAATAACCTCGCGGTGCTAACCTTCAGTACTTACGGCCTTAGAAAAGAAAGAAGGGAGTTTAAAAATGAACAAAAAAAATATTTTTTCCGGTTGTAAAACAATTCGTTTCCAGCTTAGTGCTAACACTAACTTTAACAGTACTAGGCAAGGTATGCATGTCCGCATAAACGCAGATCTAAATATGAAACAAACTTTGATAACATCAGAGAGAATAGTTTCCGCAAACTGTCTGTTTGTTTTTCCTTTCATACATTTTGCTGCAGTAGTGAAAATTTAATCAGTTGTTGACTTGACAAGAAAGCAAATAAAAAAGAAGAAGAACAAGAAGAAGAAAAAAAAGGGCAATACATTTACATTAAATAGTTAAAGTTTTTATAGCCACCACAGCAGTTCAAAGAAAGGCAAAGCTATCATAAGTTCATTATTTAGTAGGAGAGGTCTCGAATAATTTTGTCAATTTTTCGCTTCGTAACTGCTGGAAATACTTCACCTTTTTACATCTTTAACTAGCATGAAATTCCAAGCTGTTCGAAAATGCGATAGCTTTCTTCAACGTCCGCGCTGAGCTACATTTGTCTTCCTATTATTATCAACTCTTTGTGGTCGTCCTCTTTACTTGTCTGTCCATCCGTCTGAACATCTTTTCATTTGTTCATCCGCTTGTCCGTCTAACGGTCTTCCTATTTATAACTACCATGAAATTTAAAGTTTTTCGACGATGCGATCGCTTGCTTCTAATCTTTCCGCTGAGTTCTATCTCTTTGCCAGCAAATCTGTTTCCCATTTTACTTGTGTGTATTCGTCTATCGTCTTTCTATCTCCTCATCCGTTGTTCTGGTCGAGTGTCTGTCCGTCTAATTATCTTTCTATTTATTCACCCGTCTGTCTATGGAATTATTTGTCTCTGTTTCGTATTCGTATTTAAACTCAATTGTCACAGTCATCTCAACTCAATGGGCGTGAGTTCAAATCTCAAGTGCGGTAAAGTTTTCAATATAAGGCCGGTAGCTTCAGATGCTGGTGCTTTAAAATTTTTAGTCTTGGAATTTATTTCTCTGGCCACATTAATTATAATAATAGTAATTATAATAAAGAAGGAACTGTATACAGTTTAAAATGAATCTTATAAGATCTGTGTTAACATTAAAGGTCCCTTTACACGACCGTAGCAATCGTGTATCTTATAAAAGGTATCGCATGTATTTTAAATCACAGTTTTCTATGGTTTGGCTGCTCTTTATGCAAATTGAGAGCCTTATATTAACACGATCGATATATGTTTTCCTGTTAACCTTTTCGGCCGATTTAACTAATTTCCTTTCCTACTATGGATCGATATTCTTTTGAAAAAGAAATATTCTTAATAATGTTTCCCAATAGATGGTTCCAGCTTTTTAAACTCCAAAATTGAAGTGACCAGAGTAAAATCAAAATTCTGGGGATTTTATTCTATCCAAAATTTTAAGATAACTACACAGACGTGCCCTACTAATTGAGGTTCGCTATCGTAATGCTGATCGGCTATGTATATAACATAGGTAAGTTTAGGAACTTGAACGACAAACGTTAGAGTCTTTAAATTGGTTTAAAATATCAGTGAGTTGTGGAGCTATTCTGGCTGAAGCTGAAAAATGCCAGAAGAATTTTTTACAATTTTAAGGAAAAAGGTGTCCAAAATTCGACTTGAGATAAATCTTTTTTTGCTTTCGTTTGCTTTCAGGAAGAAATTTCTAAACATTTTAAAGTAAATCAAAGTTGACGTTCGCATTAAGGGAAAAGGAAAGTAAATTGTTTACCTACAAGTAATCGATCGATAATGCCGGTGACATATATTAGTGATATCTGAGTACAAGAGGAAGTTGCTGTCACAATTTAAAAATATCTTTGAGACAAGGATTAATATATTATCTAGCTCGTGGTAATTTACTTATATGTTTTTGATGTAAAGATTTTTTCTTTTTTTTGACCATTCGATTATATTAAAAGAAATGAACTCAAAAGATGTTATTTCCCAAGCTTGATGGAGATCGCTGTTTGTAATCATAATTAATGCAATAAAATAAGCTCAAAGGATTTTGGTTAATTTGAGTATTCCACATGAGTTAATTCATAGCATATTAAACGCTACTTCATAGCATATTAAACTCTACTGTAAGTCTAGTGTAAATGCTATCTAAACTGAACCTATGTATTTTTGTTTGTTTGTATCGTATTGAGCACATCTACTCGCAAACATGTATGTATGTAGATAAATGTACATGAATATTTTATATATATATGCATTATTGCATGTACACATATATTTTAGAAAATTTTAACTGTAATTTTCATATAAACACACCACAGCACATACCATGCGGATGAGTCATATGAAAATATCAATAATTGACCCAATTTCTAGTCAAATCTAGTCAAGTGTATAAATATGAGTTTAATGAAATCAACATAATCACAATGAACAGTTTGCTCTACTGGCACTTCGTTGTCTATTACGATGCAATATATGAATGAATGTAAGCGGCAACAATAATAACAATAAAGGGAATTACTTTGAACATATGATAAAAGCATAATAACTGAGTGGTGATCAGGTAGGTGTTGGGAAAAAAAAAGAACATTTTTTTTTACTTCTTGTTATTTTCCTCTTTTTTTTTCCTATAAACTACTCAAGTGTCTATTGCCTTCGTTACTTGTCAACTTGATTCTCAGTTATATAGAGAGTATCGACTAACAAGCATACTGGCTGACGATTTTCCACGAGGAAAATATTTTTAGTGATATAATAGTGATGAAGATTGCTTTGACGAGAGTTATGAAGATGACAGTTGTGTGCTTGTTAAGATAGGCAAGCAGAAAGAAAATTTTATAAATACCTATAGACATACGCAGAGATGACAAGAAATTTTCTAATTCACCGAACATAGAAAGAACACAAGGGAAAAAGCAATTTTATTACATATTAATTAGACCGAGATACCGATTAGGTTAACGTTAAGGCGCTTGGTATAACGAAATAAAGCATATTTAAAAAAAAAAATTACATTCTCCATGCGAAATTCAAATATTCCATTTATTAAGAATTAATATTTTTCCAAATATGGGCATAAAGATTTCAAATTAAGACATAGGTCCGTTCTGGCTCCATTTCTTGGCAGCTATTATTGCAACCATTAGTCCTGCGTGTACATGTGCATATACATTAATGTATACATTTATATTATTATTTATTTTGAAAAGGCGTTATATGCATGAATACCTACCGCCTGCATGCATTCGATTTCTAAACGTATTGGTGTTCGGAAGCGCGCAAACTCGATATATCCTTGTGTCAACATCAAATGATTGATTTGAAATTTTTTCATAGAGACTTCTCTTAATTCGTCGATCAATAAGTTCCGGGACTTCTCCATTTTCTTTTATCTATCATAAAAGAATTTCAACCATTCTTAAAACATGTTACTCCTTAAACCATACCTATTAAAATTTCACATCATCTTGATCATTTTTGGCCAAGAAGCGCAACTATAAAGTCAGGATAAGTGGGTGCAATTTTCAGTGCGGTAAGACCATAGCTTGATTAGGATTGACGCTTCGCTTGACGCTTGATCGGGCATATATCTTCCAGGCAGCGGGTTATGTTCTATGAATCTTTCCGCACTTTTTTCTCTCCAACCGCCAGCGTATGCATCGTGTTCGTACATGTATAGAGTTTACGCATTACATATTTAAGGGATTGTTTATAGAAGCTGCTTGTACTATTTTTAAAACAATGAAATTGAAACGAATTAAATATTTTATTTAAATATTTTTTATTTATTTAAATATTTTTTAAATATTAAAATTTAAACATTTCTTTTTGATGGGGAAAACACCATTCAAATTCAGCATTGGCTTGAAGAGTGTTATAGCAACTCTTCTATATTGGAAGCAACTATTTGCAATGTACGACCGAAAGATATTAAAATCTAGCTTACGTTGAAGCTGAAATTGGACTTTCCAGTAAGGTTTGAAATCTTTCTTCGTGGCATGAAATTTCGAAATCTAAGAAACAAGCCAAGGTTCCATCCAAAGCTACTAAACTCTCCTAGATATAGCACATCACACAATTAGTTTATAGGATGACACGCAGATGTAGGAAGACCTTTGACAAATTTAGCATTAATAGCATTAATCTTCTAAAAGTCATATCGAGTTGTGAACAATTGCAATGGAGTATGGAAAACATTCATCCCAGTCAGATATAAGTTTTTCCTTATTAGAAGCTAAATTCTATTCGATAGACTTAACCATTGTTAGATGATTGAAATTTAAATTGCTTAGCCTCACCAATAAACTCTTTATAGCGTTTTAGTGCTGCGAGAATTCTAGGCGTTAGTCAACCATTTATTACCCCAGAGATGGGCTCTGGCTTGCTATGTAATAACAGTTTATTGTTGCAAGCTTCAAAGAATTGAAAAATTTACTACAAAGGATGACTTTTTATTCGTTGGGTTACGTTGGGTTTTCCGCATTACACTCAGACTAACTTTCGTTTCATATTAGAAAGGGAGGAAGGTAACGACTTCTTAATCAACTAAACAGTTGCAAGACAACGGAGTTACATCGGGCTAAGAAAATTACAGGCTGTTGAACCTATAAGCCATAGGATTGATAAATTTACTGAGATATTAGAAGACAGCATTTTATTAAAGAGATTCTTGATACCCTTTACATTTCCTCTCTTTTTATTGTAAAATATTTCTGTTTGAAAGATTTTTCAAGGCGATAGATGCGCGCTTAGTTCGGTGTGTTCTCGAGTTTTTCTATTGGCACAAATGTACCAATTTGAACGTGTGATCACAGCTTGTATACGTCAACGATTTTAAGCGCATTCATCTGCTACAGATGTTTGCTATTGAAAGAAAGTAAAATACACCTACAACAGCAAATTTCCAAAAATCAAGAACAAAAAAAAAAAAATATAAAGAGACAAAAAGTATTAATCCATATGGTGTCTATGGGAGCAGAACGTTCCCAGTTGATTTGTAAGTAAATTGGTTCTGCTCAGCATATACATGTTTACGACTATTTTTATGGTTTTGAATATTTACACGCAAACTAACAAGGTTTCACTAGCTATAAGTTTGAATGGGTATTCGCACACCTGAATCTAGCAAATACTAAACAACAATATTAAGTTTATATGCACTGCAAAATTTTACATACATTGCTATTGTACATATATACATACATACATACATACATACATACATACATAGATATATACCATATTTGCTATTACTAGACACGTTACACGCAGATATGCATTCATTTTCAATTCATAAATATTCATTTGAACACTCTAGCGACTATTTATACACATGTTTGTGTATATGTATTACATGTATAACAACAAGATATTGTGTAACATTTTTGAATGCATGCATTAAGACTCACAAAATTTTCTGAATATAAGCATGTACTCATAGGTATATATATATATATATATGTACATATGTATATATATATGTATATATATATATGTAGGCGGTTTAAAATGAAATAGCAGACTAAACATCATTGTGCGATGGTAATGCCACTGCTGCAATTCACCTTAACAGCATCGTTAACTACACTTATCACAAATCTCTATAGGGAAATAATTTATATAACTATATCTCTCTCTTTGTCCTTCTCTTCTCTTCTTCGTCCCGTCTATGACGCCAGATTAAAATGGGAAATAAACATTAATAGACAGACAAGTCGACCGATAGCGGCAGTCTATGGTCCATTTGTTCTCTTAATTCACATTACATCAAGATGCATATAAGCCGACACATATACATAAGTAATTTCCTATAATTGCTATGGTTACGTTTTCCTTTGTATTCTGTTGTATTCCATTGTATTTAAAAATGAAACAACACAATACTTAATAAGAATTTATCGATGTGTATAGGTTGCTACCATGCAGTACCAGAGCGAATCAAAAGTACTGTGAGAGTATATTCTGAGCGCCACATTTATTGAAGGTCAAACGTTGTGCACTATTTTCCATTTAACGCTATAGTAGTTCTCTTAGCCCCTTTATAATATTCGCAAAAACATTTTCGACTACTCCTGGCGATTAGTAAATTAGTTGCATCATATATATATATATGTCTTACTTAATTTCTGTTAGTCCGTTTACTTGCTTTTTTTCGTCTATCTTCCTTATTTCTTCTGAGTTGAACTAAAACATCTGATTGAAGATCGAATAAAATGAAAACCAAAAATCATGGTCTAGAGCATATTAAGCCAAGAACTTTCCCGTAATTTGCATTTGTATTGACAACATACTTGCTATTACTCAACTACTATTACGGCCTGTAAATGAAATTATCTTTATTACACCCTACAGAACTACTAGTGCAAGGTAGGTTAAGCTCGTGCATATATACGCCTTGGACAGATTGACTCCCTGTTATTCCGCTCGATCTAGAATTATTTTCTGAATCAATTCTGAGCCGATCTAAGCTTGTCGGTCCGGCTGATATCGGTTCAAGTAAAATTTTCAAGTTGTTTTGATGTAATTAGGCAGACTGACGTGTTTCGATTCAAGGTTGAACGGTACTGAAAATCTTTCGCATCGGAGCACCTTTTGGATCATTTTCCATATAAAGTTTCTTATCGAAAAATTGTTCCAGGAATAACCGTATTAAAGCCGATGTGGTATAGGGTGTTTAGGTGGCGGAACGTGGTCCACTATATTTTTCTTACTTGAAATAGTGCCTCATTTTGATTCAATCGTACGAAAGAAAATATCGTAATTATTACAATTCCAAAAATCGCTTAATAATAGTATTTCGGCATTTTAAATTGTTGTTAAAACTTTGGAGCGGATGTAGCAATTTATTGAACCGCTTTTCATATAACCTTTGCTACGAAAACTGAAGCTTCTTTTCAATTCTTCATGATGAGAATTCGTTCAAAATAATAATTTGGTATAAAAATTAACCTTAGCGAATTTTGAACATGTAGATCTATTTTTCGGTTCGCAGATTCTAATCACAATTACAGATTTATAGGCTAAAAAGCTAAGTTTGAAAATTTGCACTCAACAGATCATGATCATAGGGAATTTGGTTTACACGGATCTGTTTTCTAGACCGTACCATATATAAGGGCTCTGCTGAAAGCAAATCCTTCTATAGCGACAAAGCCTAATTTGTGCTTTGTTGTGGCGGAAGCAGTAGAAATATAATAAAATCTTTTACCAAGTAATATAAGTTTGCTAAATTTAGGCCACATTGACGTGTGAGTATCCTCCAGTATTAGGACTTTCATCAAACTTACTGATTTTCATAAACGTAATGTACAATTATTTTGTATTCTTAATTAAGCGAGGTGATGTGAAGTGTCTGATGGGTGAGCTTGCCCGACTATAGCATTCTTACTTATTATTTTTGTAGTCGATTCTTTGGCTAATGTAGAATGAGCGCTAGCAGCTAACATAAATGAAACAACAAATAACAAAATTATATTCGTTTGTGATCGAGTTTTTTTTATATCTTTCCGAGCGTTGCAAACATTGTGAAAAAACAAGTATACCCCTCAACCTGCGATGTTGGATTTAACAATTTATCTACAGAAAACCATCATCAACCGAAAATAAAACCCAAAAGAGAAACTTTAAAAATTAATTAAATTAAAAGTTCATTCTTACAACGACACTGACTGCGTTCAATTGGGTGCTAGTATCTAGGAATACGTTCTTAAATTTACTTAACGAAATAACACATTATAAACATCGTTGGCAGTCTCAGCGTAAATCATCGTTTACCGAGAGAACGGAAACTAACACTTTAACTGCCACGATACCCTTCAAGACAGATATTTCTTCGTGGAAGCCAACGACGAGTTAATTCCTATACTGATACGAGCTGTCGTTTGTTGCAGCACCGCTATAGATAGCATTTAAAATCGTTAGTGGAGACGAGTGCATCACATTTACGATTCTTATGTTGTTATATCCTACAGGTGCTCTGTTGTACAAAGACATATTAAGTTTGTGCGGATGTATACAATGCACACAAGAATTTGATGTAGACCAGACGATTCAAAATCATTTTCTATATTGATTTAAAATTGGCTGTCCGTCTGTCCGTCTATCATACTTTTGTTCAACCTACAGGCAGTAATTTTGTAGATATATTTATGAAATTTGGTATACTGGTCTTGGCCCAAAGACGATATGAATGATAATGCTTTAGATCGGACTATTTTGCCGACAACTTCCCATATAGCGACTTGTTTTGAAAAATCATTACATGAATATGAGTCGAGTAGTGTAGGGCATAAAATCAAATTATAATTACCCAAGCGTGGATAAGTAAACACTGTTTACTGAAAAACAAGTTGAATACTGTGCTGACGAGATTTCTCGCCACATCAAGTAGATGGAGCCAGATTCATATATACACTGATATACTACGAATTTAATCGTAGTTGTACAAACATGGCCAGTATACAAGCTAGAAGTTATTTCGTAGTTGAAGCCAACGGGCTAATAGGTTCTAATGGCATCTGTTTGTTGATTTGGCGTTAAAAACAATAGGGTATCTCCGTCAAGATTACGCAGTGCCTAGAAGATGCAACTTTTTCCAGACGCAAAACAAGATGTGTACTCGGGTACAGGTCTAACAAGGGCTAATCTTTGGATTGCCTTTTATTGAAACCATGTTGTCCTTTCTAATGGAAGATTGCATATGCACTTTTGAGGTAGCTTCGTTATCGTGTAAAATTCTTATGACGAGATATTACAGACATTTTATGACTAGCATTTATTAACACAATAAACATGATGAAGAAATACCAGCAGATAACTGTTTGTAGTCCTTTTAATATAAAGGTATGTACAAATTAAGTGATTAAGATCACTTCGAAGTATGAAAGTTGATCTACTTACGTTAGGTTATGAGAGGCCAGTGTAATAAGTAAAGATAAAATGTCTTCAATAGATTCATATTAGAGAATATGCAAAGTCACCTCATAAGAAAAAAGATCTAGAAGAGTGCTTCATGGTTTTCTTTTCAAATAGGGTAACGTCACTCTTAAGACATCTCCTATCTTAATATTTATGGTCGTGTGAGTTCTAAAAAATGCTCATGGACTGGAGGTCGGACCAAAGCCAAAGCAACTCATTAAGTTACCTACTTTGGGTATCTTTGGCTCTTGCAATAAGTTTATATCAACTCTTTTGTCATCGGCAGCCAACGAATGTTTATTACCAATAGCAACTATCAAATGGCAATCTCAGAGTAAAGCCAAGGCTTAAAATTGGTTGGGATCTAACAACATACCAGCCGACAATAGAGAAGAAACTAAGGTAAATTTGAAAAAACACCGACAATATTTCATATTCACGGCGAACGATAAAATTTTAATTCCAATTAATTTCCAATACATTCCAAGTTTCACATGCACTTGAATGAAGATCGTGCCAATGTGTTAGATTGTGGAAAGAAGAGTTTTGTCCTCTAATTTGTTGCCATTTTAAAAATATTTAAAAAAATTCATAATGCGTCTCTAATAGAAGTCTTCGTCCCTATATACCACTAGTAATCGCTTTTCACAATCTTTTCCTGATGCCAATTTCTTATCACTAAGGAAGTTTTGTAACGGAAGAAAAACATGGTAATCATTCGGTGTTAGGTCCGGACTATATGGTGCATGCATTAAAATTTCCCAGCCAAGCCTGATGTTGTCCTGATGGAACACAACAGCCGTTCTGTTGGACAATTCTGGTCGTTTCTTCTCATTCGTAAGTTTCAAACGGTCCACTTGTTGACAGAGATCCGAATTTACTGTTTGGCCATATAATAATAAATGATTTCTTTCCGGTCTAGCCGAATGAACAGCAGAAACTTGCTAGCCATTAATCTCGGTTTGGCCACCGTTTGAGCTGCTTCACCACGATCGCTATCACACAATGTTCTCATACCCGGCTATCATCCGTTTAAGAGCCGAGTCAATTACGACTGCTAATGTGCCGATCAACTTTGATCATCTGTTCGAGGTACATTTTTAACATCAAAAGTATGGGAATGAAATCGGCGAAACCAAAATTGCACGTAATTGCCCGTTACCGTATCAGCGCAATAAACACCATTCACGATCTCAGCCGTCTGGCTTGCATTTTCGCCTTTACCAAAGAAAAACATACCGGATTTTCTCCTTGATGGCTTCAATTTGTAACATCCTGTAAAGGACACAGAAGAATAAAAGAGAAATTATTGTTAATATTCAAAAATTTTCCCATAGAAACATACATGAAACAACATGGTGTTGAACTTTACTTTAAAAATGATCAAAATTGCCTACTTCGTAGTTCGAGGGTTAAAGTAGCAAGCATTCACGTGTGTGCGTATGAGTCGCCTCTAGATTGCAAATATAACCTTTTTATGCCTTTGAGCATAATTTAAATCTTCGTTAGTTTAATCGTTTAATTTAATGATCAAAGATTTTTCAGTTTACTAGAGGTCCCTACAGTGCAGTTAAGGCTACTTTTCGAAGCAATAACACAAACATGGCTTGTATGTTAAGATTAGATTTACGTCACAGGTAATTCATTACCTCTCCTGATTAGATTGTCGCAGTCCATCGAAATAATGCAAAAGCTTGTGTATCGAAGGTCTGAAGGTCTGTGAAAAATCTAAAATATATATTCTCCTCTAATTAGCATAAGTAACTTTAAGGTTACGATTGTGTTTACTCTTAGAATATATCGATAAATTTCCAAGAATTACAGCATAATACCATGAAAATTATTACAACGTTAACGATGATGATAATAATAAAGTTAAACGTTACGAAGGGAATAGAAAATGAAAAGCGCAAGTGTGAAATTTAACAGCAAATAAATTTCGATGATTTATAAAATATTTTACATAAATTTATTTGCTTTTTACTCTTGATAGAAAACGTAGTTAAAAACGAGAAAATTTGCTTACATATTTCAAATAGGAAGAAGGAGGACAACGTTTAGCAGCACAAGACGAAGAAGAAGATGATTGAAGAAAAACTAAAGTTGCGTTTAATTTCATTTTAATTGGCTTCCTTTCCACGTTGATAAAAAAAAAATAAGAAAAAAAATTACAGGAAATTTGTACAACAGCGCCGAGGAAAGAGAATAAGATGTAAGACTGAGTTGTTTTTTGATTTGATTTTTATGTCTTTTTTTGCATGAGCTTATAACTAAATCGATTGAACGTAAAAGGTCAAGTATTTATTTAATTTATTTCCCATTACAAACAGTTATTATTTAAAATTGAATTTAAACCTTCTCGAAATTTAATTTCACTTCACACGTTGTCACATCCATTATGCAACTATTAGTTATCTGCCTAAAAAAGACGAAGATTCTAATGAAGTTCCAGAAGTTGTGAGCTATCAGGTGTTTCCCCGCAGGAGTAGTCTAATCGCGACTACCAAGTCAGTGTTCTTTGGCTCAAAACTCAAGTGCGGTAGAGTCGCAGCAACAATGGGTGCTCAATCGATAAAGGTATAACACTTACCGTTTGGACGCCGGCATCCCATTTCTTCCTCTTTACTTACTTCTTTCGGGCCCCCGTATCCCCGTATTACATGAATAGGAGACGTCCCACAACTCATTAATCCCTAGAAAAAACAATACGCCTTTGGCTCCATCTACAAAATTAACTGGAATATTTGTTGTATGTGTCGTCCGACGATATTTTGTAATCTGATAGACGTTTTGTCAGCTGAATTCGTGAGCGAAGCAAAATTTTCTGTGTTTAATGTTTTTTGTGTTATATATATATATATGCTCAACTCTTTTTTACCCGGCAAATGCGGTTCTTAGAAAAGCGTGCAAAAAAAATCGTGTAAAAAAATACATGCCACATACGATAAGTTTGAGGAATCAATCCAAAAAGTCGTTCAAGACGAAGAAAGAGTAAATGTTTTCCCAAAAAACCGTGCAAAAAAGATTATAATGAATTCTATTTTATATATTCAAAAAACGAAAAAAAAGTGAAATTAGTTCACAATGAAAATTCAGTCCATAAGTACAACATATAAAAATTGAAATTGAAAATACGAATAAAATTTCGCAACTATTCATTGCTACTCGATAACAGGCGTACATGGTTATTACAGACCCAATCGTCAACAAATGAACATCAGCTCTTAGAACCTTATTGAAATCACTTATGGTGTCCGACGACCTAAACGCTCTAACATAAAATAAATGCTAAAATGCTGTGTATTCAAGTTGCAGTACAAGGAGATCAAAGAAGAAGTGGTCGTAAAATTCGAATATTCCCCGCCATAAGAAAATTAGAATTAAAAATATATTTTTTTTTGCTACTCGTGTAAAACAATGCATTTACTTCTCTCGATGAAACGTGTTATATCGAAATTGGGTAAAAAACGAGTTAAGTGTATATAGGCTTAAGCCTAATACAATTTCGCGCCTTTTTTTCTTTCCCTATATATTGTTCAATTTTATGAAAGGCTTTTCTAATTTTATTAATAATCGTAGGAAAAAGTGTTTTTTTTGCTAATTTTAACAAATGTTTTCGTATTCTCTCTTGGTTAAGAAACATACGAATATGAGGACGAAAGTTGACTGAAAACGTATTACTTGTGTTCATGCGTGTGTGCAATGCATTGAAATAAGTGGAGAAATATGCTAAACTGAAGTGAAATCCGAGCACTGAATAGCAAACAAAACAAAACAAAACATTTGTTCCTTTAGATAATCGGATCGCTGAGGCGAAAAATTAATTAAAAAAGTTTCACAAAATTTCGGGAACATATGTAGCTATAGAAACTGCTCAAACTAGTTTGGGCAATTAAATAAAAAATGCGAAATGAACAAACTTACATTCTCTCTTTGCGGTCAATAAAAAGAGAATTAATTATAAAAGTTAATGAAGATTTAATAATAAGAAATCCGGCAAATCGTTACCCCGTGTTTTCGGCAGCTAAAGGCATTACGTATTAAATATTTACGATTGTTTAAACGCTACGTAGCTTTTATCTGTTGGACAACTTACGTTCTGTGCTTACTTAGGGAAAACGTGTACATTTCATTGCCAAGTGTTGATAGACGCCATAACACATAGACGTCATACATAACTAAGAAAGGTATATTAGCTTCGGTTCGGAACAAACTTTGCCACCTATCAAAGATAGCGAATGTCGGAACGCTTTTTACATTAGCTTCTGTGTCGTTCTGGATATTACTTGTCTGAATTTATTAGGTTTGGAGGGAAAGTTCTCTTGTATTTTAAAGAAAATATTTAAATTCATTTATAAAAATACCTGTGAGTTCCTTTAAAAAAAAAACTCTCTTTATATTATACGCCAGGTAAAAAAACAAAAAAAAAAAATCCAAATGACTCACTAGCCACATGTTGTTTTTTATTTATAAAAAAAATTACCTGCGTATTTCAAATACGACAGAACATTCCCTCCAACCTATTAATAATAATGTTATGAATTGTTGTTGTAAGCTAATTCGGAGCAAAGTCATGTCCTTTCCCCTCTCAGCTTTTAAATGTTCTAAGGAATCTTTCTTACAAGGTTTGGATTGATATCTTACTCATCAGCTCAAATATGCTAACCGTTTAAAAATATGATTTTCTCTTGAGAGCTTAACTTACTAAATTTCTTTTTCTGCCCACCACTACAAGTGTCATTTGGAACACCCAAAAGTAGGCAGCAGGGACCTTGTAAAGTATTTGTATGCTTGATTAGCGCGACATTTTGAATCAACTTAGCCATATCTGTCCGTCGGTGTGGTATGTGTTGTTAACACTTTTCTCGTCGCAAAAATTAAGATATCGACTGCATATGTAAGCTCCTGCACGCACGTTGGTATAGAAAATAAGCCCAACTGGTTGTAGGACATCCGCGTAAACTGTAAGTTATCTTGTTTTTTTAAGCAAAAATTTATGTGCTTTGGCTCATTATCCGCAACCATTTATGTACAAAAATGGAACAAATATTTCTACTCTTTCGAGGTTGTCATGAGGTAAGCAAGACAGAGAGTTGAAAATTACTCTGTACATTCTCCAAATAAAAATTATCTACCTAAAAAAAAATAAATATCGTGGATCCCACAATGTGGAGGATTTGATTTTTCTTCATCTACTTGCATGGTTTAAACTGTTTGATGTAAATCAGTAAAAAAACTTTTCTTGCCCTTAAGCTTATCCCGCTTAATCTTAGCAAAGTGTAGACGTGCGAGTTGACTGATTGAAAAAGTTATAGATTTTAACGGTTTCGGGAGCATCGTGAACGTTACATCTTTGACCTACTGGCGCTAAAATTGAAAAGTTTTTCTCAAGTTTTATTACCTTGTGGTTGCTTATATGGGGGTGGATCATAGCCGTTTTCATGTCCGATCTAAGGTAAAGGTAATTTTCTGCTTAAAATTCTTATCATTGTCCATCTATTTTCGTCATAAAACCCGGTGTGAACTTCTCTGGTTGACGAATGTTCTTCATTTGGCGTAAAACTCGATATTTTCATTTTTAGAAAAAGTATTGTTGAGCTGAGTTGAGTTGAGTATACAAAATATTCTGTATATGTCAAATTCCGTTTCCATTCACACAAATATAATAAAATATGGTCGGCACAGCAAGCGACGATTGTACAAAAAAATGTTCAAAAAGGTTTGCGATGCCGATTAAAAAACTTATTGAAAATATTATGTCAATAAAATTTTACTTTGATGTCTCTCTCGATCCGTCAAAATGTGATATTGTTTGTCAATTGTTTTTATTGATAGTAAAATTTACGCTGCTTATTCACTTCTTTTGCTCCCTGTAAAGCCTAAAATTAACTTTTGCGCTTGCAAAGGTTGGCATGAAAAAAATCTTTTGACGCATTTCGCTGTCAATCATATCAAGTATTTTTTTTTTTTTTTGCTTATTTCATTCAATTTCAAATGCAGAATAAATACAAAAAAAAAAAAAACTGGAAGTGAATTTAGGACGAATATCGAAGCTACGATGTATAGGAAAATGAGAATATTTCGGCGAAATATTTAAATTTTTTAAATATTTTCAAGATCAATTTTAATGTTTGGTTGAAGTTGGTCTCAAATGTCGTGTACATGCGCGGAATGCGTAGAGCTCTTTCAATTTAATGAACTCTCAAGATAATGAAAAATAAATTAACCTTTTTTAGGCTTTTGTAGGTACTCAGGACTTTGCAAAGAAACAAAGGTAGAAGGGAGGCGAATATTATCCGTGATTTCGCTAACGGTTCCATTCCATCCAAATTATTATAATAAACAAACATTTAAGCACATAGTAAATAAGAAAAAATCGTGAAAAATTAAAAAAAAGTGAAAAAATAATTATTCATCTTATAAAAGAAACGCATTAAATGCTTCAGTGAAAAACGAACTATGATATATTCGTAGAACATGACCATTTTCTCCTTAAAAGTCATACCTCTATCGGTCTGTTTGTGCTGAGTGAACTTCAATGATAAAAATATTGATTGTTTTACAAACTCTTACGCTTTTGATTGTCTCTACAATGGTATGGCGTTTGCACCCAGCAATCTTTCTTCCCATTATATGCTGCGTAGGTTTTTTTTATGAAGAAATAAACAGGCAAAAAAAAAAAAAAAAACAACAGCACTGCGATAATGACCTTTGATTTGGACAAAAACAAAGAAAGAGATGAACTGATGGATTTCAACGTAATTTCACGGAAGTTAAGTGATTTCATTTGATGTGTTTTGCAGAAAGAGATTTGCATTTTCTACTTGGTTTCATCCAATGAACTTACGCAAAATCCTCGAAATCACTCAAATACACTTCAAATAGGAAAAATATAAGAGGTTAAAACGGAAACAAGTAAAAAGGCCATAATGGGACAGGGCCGCCATCATTAAACACCCTACATCACTTCGTTCAATGCAGCCATTCATACAATGAGTTTTCAAAAGAAGGCATTATATGGAAAGATGTCCGATCAGAACCGTTTGCAGTAGCGTTCATTCTTAAGCCAAAACACATCAGGGAGACAAATTTTGACCAAAAAAATATCTCCAAAAACTAGAAGCAATAGCTTGAACACAAGAAAACGAGATGGAAAGTGATTCTGAATCGGTCGATATAAGGAAAAGTGAGTGGGTCTATCGCAAGTCTTGCTGCGGATTGCGTGCATCCACACACGCAAATGATATGGTGGTAGGGTATATAAGCAAGCAAAATTAATTTGTTTGTTGCCTTAATTGAGTGACTCATTGAAAATATAAATAATTTTAAATCATTGCTTTAAGATAAATAATCATTGAAATGGATACACATATATATATATATACATATATTTTCATTTTTTCTTTACAGATCCATTTTGGATTTTATGGATTTTGTCAAATACGATGTGGTTTTATGATATAAACACACTGACCACAAAAAACCCCATAGCATCGTATTATAAACAATCGTATGTGAAGACGGGTAAAGAAATCACTTTGCATAGATTTTAAGCGACTAAACAGTGAAGTCTCTGAATAACGTGCGAAGCGCCACGCAATACAATATGTACATGTATATATATTTTTTTGAATTTTTAATGTTAACAAATAGCTGACAAATGACAGTAGATAACTAACCGCTACGGCAGCGACGCCAAGTTGAAATTTAGTTAATAGATTTTTTTTTATATTCGTACACAAGCAAATCTAAATAACGTTTAGACGAAAACAATAAAATATTCATAGCTACGCGGGGGATTTTAGGGGAGTACTTTAAAGCACTATTTTTCTTTTTCAAAAAATTTCTTTCTCACCAAACAAAAAAAAAAGTTTGCGATAATTTGTTATCAAAAAAAAAAAAAACAAAAACAAGTAAGAAAGTTATTTGCGGTCTTGAACGAATCTTTGCTACGCACTTCTGCGAATCAATGTCATATAATTTTAAAATATTTCAATAAATGTGGGCGTGTTGTTTCATTGAGGAGTGCTTGTAAGAGCTTTGAATCTTTCTAGGAGATTTGTATTGAAGCTTTTTCATATTTATGGGCGGATCACGCTCAACATTTCATTGCAGTCATTTCCTTAATTATATTTTTATGGACCCCGCACGACCCCGCGGATGTCTGCAATGCACACAAGAACTTGAGATAGACCCGGGTTTTAATTTTATTCCGATCACTCATCACATAAAATTCTCTTGTGAAAAATAATTATATGAACTAATATATCAAATAAAGTGGTGTAGGGTTTATAATGGTAGGCATCTGATCGTAATGTTTTCATCTGTTTTTCATAAGTTATGAATCATTATTTTCTTGCAAAATCAACATGTACTATAATCATCGAAAAAAAGATTATACATATATACATCTCTAACAATGAAATATGATGGGAGGAGAGGATGTGTGATGTACCCTGAGATACCACAGCTCATGAATGTTACAAACGAAAGGACAAAGGACGAGCTAAGCCGTAATGTGTGCATGCATATATATTGAAGTTAAATACAAGACATGCTTATGTATTAAAAAGACTGAAGCACCCTGCTTTATATAGCTCTTATCGTTGTCCAGCTCAAAAGTAGAAATTTCCGTTTTACTTGTCTAAAAAGTCCATTTTCCTGCCAAATTTTGTTAATATAAAATTGCTTTTCAAACAAATTGGCACTATTTGTCTATTGAAAGAGCCGAAGAAAAGCTCACAATTTTCTCACAATAGACACAAATTCATCTTATAAACTGCACTTTAGAGTTGAGTAGAGAAGAAAGCTTCCTATTATGAAAAATAAAAAATAGAGAGAAAAAATTTCAAAAAATTGTAAGGTTTTCTTCCTCCTCCTCCTCCTCCTCCTCTCTGCAGAATTCAGCAAATTCACTGTAGTTCGCTGTGCTTAAAAGTACCAAACACCTGGTCAGATATTGCTTCCATTTTTATACCCTACACCACTTGTAGTAAAGGGTATATTAAGTTAGTGTGGACGTATGTAACAAGCAGAAAGACTTAGGATGGACCCGCCTTTTATTCTAAGCCTGTCCGTCTGTTGTCTGCCCATACAAAATTATGCTCAAGCTACAAGTCGGAATTCTCGAGATATTTCTATAAAATTTGGTACAGGGAGGTGTTTTGACCCAAGGACGAACATTCCCAATGTAAAGCCCTATTCTGGACAGTTGTTGTATGGGAAAAAATTGTGATTTTCAAAAGACACGTCCGGTCCGACTTAATATATACCTTGTGCTCCAAGCGGTGTAGGGTACATAAATTCATAAATATCCTTATTTTCTAAATTGTAGCTTTGATATTGTAGAACTTTTATTTTCCGTATCTTCACATTGAGTCGCCGGCGTTTTCTTAACAAAGTACCGTAAGTCAGCAAAACTTAGACTAAATAAATCGTATGCAAGTTTCGCTCATAATCAGGACAAAAAGCCGTGTGCAAATGAGTGAGTGTATGTGGAGATTTCACTGTATAAATATATTTACAATAACAGTGTGCGACTTTCAACAGTTCATGGAAATTTCTAAATTACTCCCGTAAAAAGAAAGTGAGCCATTAATTCACAGCAAAACAATTGTTAACATTTTATGCGTTGTTGTTAAATTAAAAGTACGTGCTTGCTATTATTATTGTTATCGTTGCTCGTGCTGTTGCTATTACTGTTCCCGTTGTTTTAATGAGAACATGGCCGATTTGGAACGTATACGACTGGTGGTGTTGGGCGGCGCTGGTGTGGGCAAAAGTTCAATTGTGAAACGTTTCCTTTTCAAAACATATACCGACAAATATCGAGCTACAGTTGAAGATCTTTATAACAGAGAATACGATTTGGGTGGAGCAACATTAAAGGTAAGCAAAGCGAATTGGAAGAACGAATGTTAAAAATATGCATAGACTTCCTTCCATTAGCAAAACAAACACAAAACACAATTTCAAAAAAAACTTGGTTTACCACCTCATTATAAATTCACGAATTTATTGCTTTTTGTTTACTATTTTTTTGGTTTTTTTTTTTTTCGTTTAATTTAGTCCCATTCAGGCAAACTAATGTACGGCATCAATATGTAAAATAAACTTCTCATTTAATAGTATAAACGAAATTCCGTTGGTTTTACTTTCCAGCAAATAATTCGCATAATTTAGTTAATCATAATTAGCACTTGTTTAGTGCGATAATTGAAATAAATTGACAATTAAATACGCGAACGTACTGCTGTGTCCAAAAAGTAGGGTGAATTTGTTCACAAATTAAAAAATCTTTGTTTATCCTCGGGAAACAATTTCATCTCCTTCCCTATGTTTACAGAACTGAACTAGCAGGAAGCCGTAGTGCATAATACCGCGTTAATCGAAGAAGGCATCATATTGACGTCAGTGATTTTTAAATGATTTTGCCGCAGATTTTTCGATTTTGGTTCACCATTGCCACGGTCTTGGCTTGATTGATCGATTGTGTCCGGGTCCAAATCTCATTCCCCGTAACGATGTATTTCATGAACGCGTCTCAGTCAATAAAGTTATTTATTGTTCGTAATTATAAATCTTTATGCCGTTGAGCATTTTTCAAATGCATACCGCTTTTCCATTCAAACGGAAGCAGCGTAGCACTTGCATCATAAACTTAAAATATCAAAGCGTTACATTAGCTGCAGTGATATTTGATGATATGGTGGCGTATATATACATACATGCCTTGCGTGCAACTTTTATTTTTGCTGCATGACTAATTCCATTAGTTGAAGCAAAACACTTGGGTTCTTGTTAACTTCATCTAATCGTACAATTCATATCTCAAGACCCACACCATTTTCATGCAATCATGAAATTCCAAGATATGTCTTCCACTTGGTTGAATCTTGCACTATAGTCGTAATGCAGGATTCATGCGTATCTCCGTCGTGAGCTTATGAGATCTGAAGTGATCCTAGCACGTAACGTTCGCATGCTTAAATAGACCGAATATATCATCCAAAAGTTTCGCTTCCTTTTCGTCCTTCAACCTTACCATTTAATCGCTACATGATTTCTCAAGTTTTATATATTTCTTAAACAAGCAAAGAAGCGAGAGAGAGAGAGATAACTTAATGCATATGAAGTTTTTGCACGTGAAAGAGGAAAGCAAGCTCCAACGATTTGTTTTTGCTAATAGTTATGTCGTCCGTGTTAAATTTGTTTTTTGCTTGCCCTTTACCTAACTTCATTACCATGCGAAAAAAAGACAAAAACATTATGTGTATAAAGTTAAACATTTCATTAGCAAGTGAAACAAAAACATTATGTATATAAGTTCGAACATTTGATTAGCAACATTATTGCAACATTTTGCCTATGCGGTCTTGTGAATATGGAAAGACACGGTTTTTGGCGAATTTGGAGGTGAAGTCCCGTATACAGGGTAATGAAGTTGGGTTTTTCTGATAGGTTTTAGCATCCTTTAAGACATATCAAAAAACTGCACGTCATATTTCTTAAAAATTTTTTATACCCCTTTTATATATTGCAACTTTTCGCCAACACTACACACATGCACTATATGGTAAATACAAGAAAGAATTTTTTTTTTACTTTTTCATAACATTTCGGTATAATTTCTTATTTCATTCATGCTTGCATTTCTATTTTTGTTTAGTTTTTCTAATGATTTTGTAGTGTTCAGTTATCCATTACCCTAGCAAAGGTGGTTGCTCAAGAGTGAAGATAGCCCACATTTTTGTCTTTGCTGAAATGCGGGCTGGCTACAGTGGGCTAACTTCACTTCAGTGGCGTTTTGGCCTCACAGGCTGTCGGTCTCTGGAGGGGGATTGTTAGAGTAAGTTAGCATAAGAGCGTTAAAATTTCAGTAAGTTAGGGTAAGGCGAGGTTTAGGAAAGTGACAAGTTAAGTTAGAGGGGGCGTTGGTCGCGGGGAGCGTTAACGAGAGGACGTCTCCGTTCGGTGGGTGCAGTTAGAATGATGGTAGTGCTAGGTCTTAAATTAAGGGAATGCTTTAATGTTTGAAAAATTAGAACAAAGAAAACTCACCGTGAGAAATAAATTATATGAATATATGAATAAAGAAAATCCAAAAGAATATTGATTAAATTTCTTGTGACAACCTGAGCTGCCGCTGAGCTACACCAGCAGCAAGTTTGGCCAAATATTTGTCCTCACAAGTGGGTGGGTTGTTGTGATGTTATTGTTTATACTGTTACCCTATTGGGTCTTGATCTCTGGTTCCGACTTAAATTCTGTTTTCTCCTCTTCCGTTTTTTTTTTTTTTTTATTTTTATTTCCCTTTATTTTGAACTTTTGCTATTCCAAGTTTTTTTTTTTTTCGTGTTATTCCACCAAGGAGTTTTATCTTTGCCTTTTCGTAGCACCTTTTCACTTTCCTTCTATTTTCTTCGTTTTTAGTTGTCTTCCCGCAAAATATCATGAAATGTCCTCTAAGCACTCGCTGTTAACACCAACTAAAAGAAAACCTACTCTCCGATCTGGTATTGCTGCTGCAATAAATACAACCGTAGCTCTTTATCTATAGCAGGCCTAAAAAAAAAAAAAAATACTTGCATTACACGAAAAACACATAAACTCCTACACATTTTAATTTCTAAAATATTGTAATGATTATTATTACGATTCGCAATAAAATTATTTAAAAAAAAAATAAAACTTTTTGATTCTCTTTCTTTGGGCAACAAGTTTATTACTCGCCGAGAAGATAAGCATAAGGAAAAGTTCAAAATGCTATTTAAATTTTTCAAGCAAACAGATAATTTTATACAATAGCTTCGGGTTTTGTTCGCCGATGGCAAGAACTTTGAATTGTAACAAGCGGGGAACGGTTTAAACGAAAAGAAATAACGATTCACGCAAAAGCACTAAAACTTAAATTGAATTTTGCAAAAGCAGTATACAGGATAACCTATAAATTACGTAAGGCTTTCAAATGGTATATAAATGCGAACATGATAGCTCTACAATAATCATAAACATGTAGAAAAGCGAAATTTTAAAAGAAGAGAAAAGTGATCTTATTCAAGTTGTTCTTGTGTGTGTTGGATGCTCGATGTATGTCTTGGTTGTCTTGGTTTGTGATAGTTTGTTTCGGGATTGATTTGTGCAAACTTTTGAATGAACTGAATACATTTGCCTTGTGGATGTAGGGTGTATATATGTATTTATTTTGAAACTTCCGAGCTAACTGTTTGTGTCGAGGATTCCGAACGTGTTGCATGCCATGTTATATACTGAGTGTATTCTGCAGCTATATTGAAACTTTCCCTTTTCAGCGATAAAGAACACTTCCGCTCGGTCGTCCACGCTGTGCAAGTGCATATTAATAGTTTTCTTTACGATTAATTCAATTTTATATTGCGCGAAGTACCTGACAACATTCGTTACGCTTAGATGGAAATGAAGCTCAAAGTTTAGAAATACATCATAGTGTTTAAGTGCAGGAAACTTGCAACTCGGTTCTCAATGACCTATTTCATCGACACATCTGCCCTCCTCTTATCCGATGGTCAACATCCGTGAATTTTTATTAAAATAAATTTCCTTTTTTTTTTTTATTCTTCTTGTTTTTATGTTTGTTTAGTGTAAGCGACTTTGTAATATTTTTAAAAATTCTTCTCCTTCGGTAGTTGTATCCTTTTTTGCATTTGCATTGCATTACATTATGTGCAAATGGGCGGACGGACAGACAAACTTAAATCGATTCAGAAAGTGATTCCGAATGAATTGTCGATAGGTGAGTCTACCTCACGTCGTTTCGGATGCTACATATATCCTTACACAAATTTAATATATTCTTGCACGACAAATGGGGTGGCGTATAAAAGGAGGCGGCAGACGTAATTGCACAAAACGAAAAGGATATAATCGGGTTTATTTTACAAGAAAGACAGTGCATGCGAAACTGCCGCTTATTTATAAAAATTACAAAATTTGTAAAAACTTTCAACATTCGAGGAAAGTACACGATAACGACATTCCTTGGGAATTCCAAACTCGCGTAACTGATAGAAACAATAACATCGTCACTTTGTTCTATCGATATTAATCCTTCCCATTACTATTTGTTTCAAGCGAACTGTATTTTCAAAAAAACATGAATTGGCCTTGGTCCAGGAGTCACCGTGTGACTCCAAAGTGGTGTTTATCGTTAACATGTAGTTACTTATAGCATTAAATGAAATCGTTTTTTTTCAATACAAACTTTTTGTAAAGATTGGAAGAAAAACTATTTATCAATGCATTTTATTGCGAGAAAAATTTCAAAGATATTTCATTTCCTATTTGGTAGATGACTAATAAAGCATGCAACATTTCACTGGCAGTTCGATAAATATTTTTCAGAAGAACAGCAAGTAAATGAAAAATCATAAAAGTTTGGTTTGTCGTCTCTTCTAAATGGCTGGAATAGTAAGAAAAAACCGAAAATGGGAAAAGAAATTCCCAGAAATCAGAGATATGCGTTGGTGTGTTTGTATGACATAGTTTTATTAAAAAACAAGTAACGACGTTATAATCGGGCAAGGTCGACGATTAGATACCCTATACCACCCTCAGCCAAGTACAATTATTCACTCGGTTTGATAATAGTGCACAAACAATTGCACGTTATTTTCATGAAAAGGCATATTTTTTTGAAAGCCCGCATATTGGAGGTAGCTCGAAACTTCGCATGAAGCGATTCAAATCTTGCAAACTTGATTTACTTTCTGAAAATTTTATTATTGTTCGGTCTCTTTCATAAGCAACTAGAAATTAGACTTTCTCTCCGTATTCTCTCCGCTTGCTTTCCCTGATAACCCATAAACACGGTGGGGTCTGAAAAATAGACCTATGTGCTCCTAATTCCACGTCGTTAAATTCTTGCTCAATCGCTACTATGGACCATTTTTTGCCATAAAACATTAACAATTAAAACTCTTTAGCGTATCAAGGTTTACATATCCTGATAATCCTAATGTGCGATGATTTCTAAAGGATAGATCTACGCGGTCCAAATTTTTAATTTCCTGCCTATTTACTGTTGTAAACCGTTAGAGCTTTTCACCATACAAAAATTCAGTTTCCGTAGGAATGGTCATACGAGGAGTGGTTCTAAAAATTTCGGAATGTCGAAATACTAATCCACTACGAGTTTGGTCAAAAATTTGCAAAATTACAATTTCTTTCATATAACGCCTTATTTTGAAAATGAATTGTGTCGTGGAGTAGTCGAAAAAGTAGTCGAAGGGAGTGATCGAAAAAGTAAATCGATCCGAACCATTTTCAATACCGTTCCTCCATGGGTCAAAGCATGTCAAAAATTGCGAACTGTATGTTAAACACAAATTTACAGTAACACACATCCGACGGACAGATAAGATAGATGGACAGACTGGCTTAGATCAGTATAATGAAAGGTAGGTCTATCTTAAGCCCATCCGGGTATTATATACGTCTGCACAAACGTAACATATCCTATCCTACCCGGTGTTGTATGGTATAAAAAATACAAAAATATTTTTCCATTAAAAATGTTTCCCAGTCGTGAAGTTGTGCTTCTCATTCGAACTGAAGGTTATTATTAAGCGAAAAAACTCGCTGCACCTAAGTTAGAGTATATTCTCTGCTTTATTTTAAAGGACTTGACACTCTTTAAAGAATTAAACCTCTTTTTAAATATTACGCATATATTGTTTGAAATTCTCTTTCTGCGTTGATTTATAAAATGATGACTTCGTGGTTGACCATAGCCATAAATTATGCACTGGCTGTTCTTATAACCAAAATCAAAACCTCAAAATTCAATAATGTCATTCTGACCGCACTGTGCTATTTTTATATTTCCTGAAGCGGTTGCAGTTATGGTTGTTTCGTTGGCTACGCCTTCCTCGCTATAGTCTTTACTGACCGCAATTATAACGCATGAGACTTCCGCTTAGATTAGCGTTTTAATTGTCATCGTTTGCTGTTTTTGAATTTCCATAGCTTTTATATTTTAGTAAAGAATTTTTCTTTTTTAAGTTTTGTGGTAAACTACACATCTTTTTTTTTTTTCTTTTGTTTTTTCCTTTAAAAGATCAATGTGGCTTTCGTTGAATTTAAGTTTAAGTTAGTAAATTATAAAAGAATGCGAGGAAACTAATGACAAGTTATACCCTGTATGTGAATATATGTAAGTAAATATAAAATCGCAATTTATTCATAGATGACTCCCCACAACAACCCATGTAGAGTACATGCATGCCCTAAGTAGTGGCTTTCCTATAGCTTGGGCATCTGGCAAGGAGGAAAAGTTGCAATGCCAACATATATCGTAACACAAAAATACTGTTTCGAGAGCATTCTCTTTGACCGAACGAACGGCTATTTTGCATCGCACATCTGGCCTAATAAGCATACCTATTATGATTCGTCCGCTTTCGCAGGAAAGGCACATTTTGTGTTTGGTGACATCAGGAGGGTTTGCTTTGTTTTTAACTGTTAAAATCTGGTGATATGGTTAACACCAAACGCTACCAACAACAATTTATCGAATCGAATCGCTCGCTGTTCGAAAAACACGCGAAATATCTACAAAAGCCAAAGGAAGTTTGGTTTTTTTGTGCATGACGCCCAGCCATCCGTCCATAGACAAAAACGATTCGCGATACTTTGGAAGCATAAGATTGAGAAATGCTGGTCCGTGTAAATTATTCAGCAACCCTGAGCCCTTTCGATTACCATTTGCTTGCATGGTTCGGAACTTCTTACGAAAATGTGCTGAAATAGCTCGACAAGTGATTTGCTCTCAAAAGAATAACAGTTTTTTTTGGCGCGGCATCCACAGGTGGCCGGACCATCGGAAAGACTGTGTAGTTAACGATGGGCACTATCTCGAATAAAATATTTTCCATGATTTTTATGCAATACACAATAATTTCTATACAAAATTTCCAGTTACGTATATACATACCTAGTATACAATGACCACAAGGACTTAAGCTTGGCCGTACGTCCTATTCGCGCGTTAAATTAGCGTAGCTGTCTATGTTGATCTTAGTACAGGGTGTTCTAGTCACCCTATATCGATAACACATTTAACCCTCAAGATCTTTTTACATAAGTCTTGTTCTGAGCTGAAATCCTACATCCCAGGTAGATGATGTACCAATTGCTGTCATCCGATAGTCTTGGGTTGTCTTCTCTCTGTTGGACGTCTATGTCTACATTGTTTGTTTTTTTTTTTTGACTTTCCTGTATTTAGCTTATTGTGATATCGTAGCCCCCCGCGGACGAGTTCATTTCATAGCTTGTTATCAATGAAAGCACAGTGGCCAACTTATTCGCAGATAATTGTTTTGGCTAATTATCTGGCATCAGTTGATTTCGAACGGCGTTGCTGCTTAGATTTATTTCTACTGCAGGGTATACTTGCAAGTAATCAATAACACGACTATAATTAACTTTGCTAACTTAACTAAATTGATTTAACACCCACGCGAATAATGTGAGGCCAAAGAGCGTAAGGGACTGCTTTATATATTACATAAATGTAAATACAAATATCTTATCAAACTTTAGACAAATTTAATTATCATTGTTTTTTTCTTTTGATGAATTGATAAAATGTTAAAATGAAAATTCGTAACTTGTCTCTTTTCTCGGTATGTTTTTTGGGGAAAAAGTGCTCGAAACCCGCGCGTCATAACCAAAAGAACGAAAACTCTTCCTTTAGTAATTTTTGAATGATAATAAGAGCGAAGATTGGAAGCTTAGTAGACATAGACAAAAGCAATTAAT